CATCTCCCGCCAGCGCTGCCGACCCTCCCCCGGTGGGCAGAGCCGGGGGGGCGATGCCAGCACAGAGGTGCGCGGGGAGATGGAAGCGGCCCCGAGCCCGTGTGACACTGTCTCCTCTGAACCGGCACGGCTGACAGCTCTGGTTTGACCACTGCCAAGCCCAGCCCTGGCTTGTCTGTGGCAGGGGCCATGCTCAGCCCCTCACCACTGTGCCTGGCCTCCTTTCCCTCCAGCTGCCAGCGCCCTTGTCCAGCTCCTTGCTCTGCTAAACTACGGTCCAGCACCGACCCTGCACACTGGACTGTGGCTGAGGGAGGGACACAACGGATGTCCCCACGCCAGTGCACAGCCCTACACCAAGACACCAGTGCACCAGCCATGGGGGCTCCCTCCGCAGGAGGGACAGGGACAGCAGGGGTGACCTGGGCACCCACGGGTGCCTCCAACCTCTCCTTGCAATCCTGGGGCCTCTGTGCCTGCTGTTCCTCTCTGTGTCCCAGCCCTGGCACGGCCACAGCAGCTGCTCAACCTACCAGTGTGGGACAGTCCGTGCCCGGCCACGGTGGCTGCCCCACTGTCCCTGTCCCCCCGTCCTCCTCCACAGGGCGTGGGCTCCCCAGCTTTGCACCACAGCTAAGTGGGACACCTGCCTCGGGGACGGCTGGGGCCGTGGGGAAAGGGGAGGCAGGGGTGGGGTGACCTGAGGACACGGAGGTATCTAGTGGGGGGTGCCGGGCCCCTGGCCCTGGTGTGTCTTCGGGGGACGGGCTCGGCTTTTCCAGCTCAGCGTCCTCAAAGAAAGGGACGGCGTAAATAGCCCCTCGCGACTCAAGCTCCACTGGTGCTCTGGGCAGCTGCAGCTCCTCCAGCTTTTCTGCCACTGTGACAATCTCCTGGAGGAGATTCTCCTCGGGCTCTTGGGCTTGGTATTTTCCTGCAGCCTCAGGGAAAGAGTTTGTCCCTTCTGTGGGCAGAAAGAAAGTGGGATATTACTGCCCTGTCCTGGCCCAGTGGCAGGCAGAGATGCCCTCACCCCACAGTGGGGCTGGAGTCCTGGCACCCCTGCAGGGACTCAGCTGTCATTGACCTCCCCTTCCCCACCTAAAGAGGGTCAGCACGGGGCAGGATCAGGCCCTCCCAGTTGCTGTTGGAACCAGAAGAGCCAACAGCCCCAGTGGGAGCTTTGGGGCTTGGCAGCACGTAGGGGGGCCAGATCCTTAACCCTGCATTCCCCTCTCGGGAACGGTCCTTCTCCACACCCCCACCCCCACCCCGGGGAGAGCAGACATGCACGGGGAGTTAGTGTGTTACAGGGGGCTTGGATTCACGGGACGGGTCCATCCTGCCTAACCCATCCTGCCTAACCCTGCTGAGAGGTGGGGAATCTGTGGCACGGAGACGTGCAGCATCCAGCCGATCCGGGGGCAGTGTCCCTGTACTGCCCCGAGGGGATACACGGAGAGGTGGGATCGGGCAGGAGGAGTGGAGAAGCAGCTCTTCCTCCCTCCATGCCCATTATCCCTGCAGCTCATCACCTGCGGGGCTCGCCGGCGGTGCAGGCAGTGCTGTGCCACTGCCCACGGGTCTCCTCCCTGCCCACCGTGGGAGGTATTGCCCCAAAGCAGCCTGGCAGGCTGTGTTCCACAGTCCCCAGGACCCAGCAGTGCCCCCCAGGCCAGCAGCTGTGCTCACAGAGCTCACACAGACCGACGGTGCCACGCAGGACATCCCTGTTCCACCACGATCTAGTGGCGCAGTACTGAGGGCATGCAGGGCATCCCTGCTCTGTCGTGACATATCAGCACACACTGCTGAGACCACGCAGAGCACCCCTCCTCTACCCAGAGCTATCAGCATGCAGGATCAGGACCATGCAGTTATAACCTCCCCGGTCACGACATGCCAGCGTTGGGAGAACCATGCAAGACATTCCTATCCTTACCGGGCAAGTCAAGATGCACCAAAACACCCCTGCCCGCCCTATCGCGAAATAGCGCAGCCCGCGGCACGGGAAACATGCAAGGGATGCCCGACGCGATCCGACCCTGCAGGACAGCCCATCTCTGCTTGCACCGCAGCGCACTCGGGTGGCCCGGGGGTGGCACCTCGCACCCGCGGGCACCTGAAAGCCCTGCCAGAGCCTTCCCGAGCCTCCCGCCGGTCCCTGCCCAGGAGCACCCGCGGGCCGCGGGGTAGTGCCCCTCTTTACCTCGGAAACAGTACGCATCGTATCTGCTCTGGGCATCGGGGAATCCCGTCTGGTTGCGGAAGAGGAAGATGGTTTTGACACCCGGCAGGGCTCCGCCGCAGCGCTCCCGAGGGGTGACGATGGGGTAGCGGACGCTGCCGTCGGCCAGCCAGCCGGGGCTGCAGGCGTCCAGCCCCGCGTTCCAGGCCGCGTAGAGCTGCCCCGGGCTCGCCAGCTCCGCGCCCAGCGCCCGGCAGCGCTCCACCGCCTCCTCCAGCGTGAACCTGGCTGGGGCCGTCTCCAAAAAGATCTCCCCTGCGAAGAGAGGAAGGAGACGGGGCGTCAGAGCTGGGGAGGGGGGCAGGGGCTGCGAGAGCCCCCTCACCTCCTCCGCTCTCCGCACGACCCCAGGAGCTGGCGTGGAGGTGGGGACTCCAGCGTGTGGAGGCACACCAGGGGCTGGAGGAGCCTGCCTATATCCCTGCCTTCCTCCTTGCCTTCCTCCTTGCCTGCATCCCTGTCTTCCTCCCTGCCTGCATCCCTGCCTCCTGTTTCCCTGCACACGCACGTGGCAACCACAGTGCAGGCATGGCTGGAGCTCTTGTGCCACATGGGATTCCTGCCCTTGCAAACAGAGCTGAGACTTTGAAGCATCCATGAACCACGAACAGGACCACAGATGAGCAGGTCTTCACCCTGCACAGCACAATCCACAAGCAGGACATTTCTAAGGGGGATCTGCAAGCCCAGTGGATACTGTGGTGGGGCTTCACACCGAGAAGTTCTGGGCACATCACATGTCAGCCCCCACAACCACACTGATCTCCCTGTCCCAGCACATCGTGCCCTGCACACAGGCAACCTGTGCCTTGTCCCTGCCACCCTGCCTGGCATCACCACAACAGCTGCTGCCACCAGTGGTGAGCCCCATCAGGGCCCAAAGGAGGGACTGGCCACTCCCCACACACACAGCTGGGTGGGATCTGCAGCACTGCAGCACGTGCAAAGCATGGTACGAGCACAGCCAAACCCCAAACCACCTCTCAGCGTTACCCATGCTCTGCTGCCAAACCAGGGCAGATCACCGTGGGCACGCTCCAGCCCAGGCACTGCCTGCTTCAAGAGAGAGAGCCCCCCATCCTCCCAAACCGAACCAGAATGCTTTAGGAAGCAGCACAGCAAGTCCCCACGGCCTGGAGCCAGAGCCTGAGGTTCAGGGCAGCTTTTTGCTTGGATTCACAACTGGTTACAGGGGCGAGTTAGTGTGGGAGCAAAAGCAGGGGAGGGCAAGAGGGGACTGGTGGCACCGCAGGCACCTGGGAGGTCCTCAGCGTAGCAGTACACGTCGTACATGTCCGCTGGGTCCACCACCCCGTAGTTCCTGACCCCAGGAAAGCCATTCATGTCTCCATAACAGGCCTCGCGGGGTGTCTGGATGGGGTACCTGGGGCAGGAGAGCACAGGGAAGGGTTGGTGACTCACGGAAGGGTGATGGGGGAGGCAGTGGGTGCAATGCCCGGGTGGCTGCGGTGCCCACCTGACGGTCTGGTCGGCGATCCAGCCGGCGTCACACTGCTCGTAGCCGCCCAGATAGGCAGCGTAGAGCTGCTCGGGGGTGGCAATGCTGGCACCGATCCGGGCACAAGCTTCCTGCGCCTCGGCAAAGGTGTAGGCGTAGCGCATGGAGCCCTCCCGGTAGTGAAACACCACCCCTGGGGGAGGACAAAGGCGTGGGCAGGGGGCTTCGGGGCAGCCCCCCCGAGTGGGTGCAGATGCACCGGGGGGGGGCATTTGCTGAGCCAGGAGAGGGCCCCAACCCGCCCCAAGCCCCACCTTGGAGTACCTTTGACTTTGACGTGGAGGATGTCGTGGCCGTCCTCGATGCCGTGCTGCACGTCGCAGCGGTAGATCCCCGAGTCGTTGGGCCGCAGCTCGGTGAGCAGGAGGGAGGCGTTGGTGTAGCGCTGGTGGAAGATGGGCAGGGAGGCGCGCAGGCGATAGTCCTCGCTCACCTTCACCCTGTCCCCCCGAGCTACCAAGATCTCCACCTCTCTGCCCTCAGAGATGAAGGTCCACTTGACCCGGGGGGTTCCCAGGACAGCCCGGCGGCCGCCCGTGCCCGCAGTGGGCTGGGGGCCAAGGTAGGTGATGAGGCAGGGGATGGTGATGTCGCCTGCCAGCACAGGGTCGAGGGCTGGGTGGCGTGGGATGGAGACCTGCAGAGCCTTGAGGTCCTCTGGGTGGGAGAAGAGAGGAGCCGTGAGCAGGACGAGGGTGGGGGCCCCTCTGAAGCCCCCACTATGGGGCACAGACGGGGCAGGGAGTGACGCAGATGCGGCCGATGATGCCGAGTTACCTGTGCCATCTCCGGGGCCAAACACCTGCGGGACCACTGTGGGGGCAAACACCCAGAGCAGCAGCAGCGGGAGGGCTGGGGCCATGCTCTGCCCTGCAAGGGGGGAGCAAAAACCACCAGCTGTGCTTAGAATCCAAAAAAGTATCAGAAACATCCCATCCCTGCATGAGCGAGAGAGCTCAGGGGGAGCCCCCGGCCCATCTGTACAGGGATGGGGTGTCAGGGCACAGAGGGAGAGGGCAGCACTGGCACGGCCGCAGGGCATGACCTGGACCCTTGGACAGTGGAGAGGAGAGGGAAGAGAAGGAAATGTGCCCTGGTTAACAGGAGGAAGGAGACAGCACGAGCTCCCAGGACCATTGGCTGGGAGCCACTGGGTACCATCCAGCCCCAGCAACCTTCCCTGGGAGCCGGGTCCCCTGGGGACAGCAGAGTCCAGCCTGACACCGACGGCACAGAGGTCTGAGCCCAAGCGCTGGCCACAGCGGGCAGGGAGGCGATGCCAGCACCCGCGGTGCCGCCGTGAGAAACCTTGGGAAGGGTTCTAACAGCGGGTCAGAGCAGGAAAGAGGCAGCGAGGGAGGCGAGTGAGCAAGCGGGGCACATGCGTGTGCTTGTGCCGCTCCACGCGTCGCAGAGCTCGCACGTGCGGGTGTGCACACGCGTGTGCCTGTGCTCGTGCACGTGTGCGCTGAAGAGGGAGTGTTTGTGGAGGGGGTTGAGGTCAGCGAGCCGCTGGGGAGGGGTGACAGCCCGGGGCACACAAAGCACAGGGCAGAGGGGGAGGGAAGGAGCGGGGCGGCTTCTTTGCCATTCAGCTCACGCCGGAGGCTCCCTGCGCGCGGGCNGGAGGGCTGGGGAGCCAGTGCTGAAAGGAGAGCCCGGTGGCCAGCACCGCCATCACCGGCCCCCAGCCCTCCCCAGGGAGCAGCTCAGGGGATGCCAGGCATGTCAGGAGGGGCTCCGGCTGCCCACGGCCTCTTGCAGCCCTCCGGAGGGGAGGGTGATGCTGGGCATGTGGGGAGATTCCCCTGCATGATGCACAGCCCTGATACCCCCTCACCCCTCTGCAGAGGCTCCTCAGGGGGCTGGGAGCTCCTCAGCCCCCCATGCCAGGATTGCATCACACCGTTCCCTGGGAACGGAGCACCCTGAGCCTCAGAGCAGCTTTGTGATTTATGAGCTCTTTGTGCTGCATTGATTTCGGCAGCCACAGTAGTGGCTTGGGCAGCTCCACAGCAGATCGCTGGCTGCCAGGGCCAGCCTGCTGGGAGGCTGTCCTGGTCACCTGCATCCCTCTGCAAACTGTGCTCCTGGAGTGTGCCCAGGGGACCACTGCTCTGGGGAGAGGTGTGAGTACAGCCCCCAGCACTGAGCACTGTGCACCCACACCCCAGCATCATGCAACCAAGGATGTCCAGGCACCACCCACCACGGACATACAGCCCCTGGCACCACAAAACCATGGACATACAGCCCCTGGCACCACGTAGCAATGAATGTACATCCTCTGGCACCACACACTAAGGATGTCCAGTCCCTGGCACCACACACCATGGATGTACAGCCCCTGGCACCAAGCAGCATGAATGCACAGCTCCTAGCACCAAGATCTATGGACATACAACCCTGGCATTGCACAGCCATGGACATACAGCCCCTGGCACCAAACATCATGGACATACAGCATCTGGCACCGCACAGCCATGGGTGTACAGCCCCTGGCACCAAGCACCATGCATGCATAGCTCCTAGCACCAAGATCTGTGGACTTGAAGCCCCTGGCACCCCACATTATGCACATCCCTGGCACCACCCAACATGGACTTACAGCCCCTGGAAACACACACCAAGGATGTACAGACCCTGGAACCACACACCGTGAACATACAGCCCCTGGCACCACACCCCATGGATATATAGCCCCTGGCACCAAGCACCATGCATGCACAGCTCCTGGCAGAAGCTCCATGGTCTTACAGCCTCTGGCACCCCACATCATGGATGCACAGCCCCTGGCACCACCCACTGTGGACATACAGCCCGTGGCATGACACACAATCGACGTACAGCCCCTGACACCACACACCATGGACATACAGCCCATGGCATGACACACCACCAATGTCCAGCCCCTGGCATCACACACCGTGGACATACAGCCCATGGCACCAAGCACCATGGACATACAACCCCTGGCACCACACACCATGGACATACAACCCCTGGCACCAAGTACCATGGACATACAGCCCCTGGAATCACTCATCATGGACATACAGCCCATGGCACCACACACTATCAATGTCCAGCCCCTGGTACCACACACCGTGGACATACAGCATCTGGCACCACACAGCCATGGGTGTACCACACAGCATCTGGTACCACACATCATGGACATACAGCCCCTGGCACCAAGCACCACGGACATACAGCCCCTAGTACCACGCACCGTGGACACCAACCATCACACACAGACCACAGACCTCCCCTTCCCAGCCGGAGCTCAGCAGGGGCAGCCGCAGGGATCGCCCGGGACCCAGCTGGTGTGTCAGGGCCAAGCCAGGGGCTTTCTCCGCTCCAGAGGGATCATCTGAATGCAGCCCCGCGGCTCTGGAGTGAGGGACAAAACCCTCCTGCGCGGCCGACGTGGCCAGGCTCCAGTGTGGGGGTTGGCTGCCACCCCCGGGGCGGCCAAGCGAGGAAGGCTTTTGTCACGGGCACCTTTTCTTCCCATCCCCAAGGCGCCGTGGTGGCGCGGGCAGCAGCCACGGAGCCCCAGGGAGGAAATCCAAGTGATAAAGCTCTGCAGGAATGGGGCAAACTGGGCTGAGTCGTCTCTGCTCCCTTCCCGTGCCCGTCCCTGGCTGGACCAGCGTGCTGGCACCAGGAATGGGATGTGGAGAGGGTTAAACTCTGCCCATGGGTGACGTCCTGAGGTCCCCGAGTCCAATGATGGCAAGAGACTCTCAGCCATCAAATCTGGGGCTTGAGGTTGGATTTTTGGCTTGGGTTTTTTTCTTATTTTCCACAGATGGAAAATCTTTTGACCCACACGTCATGAGGGAAAAGCTGGGAGCAGGACTAGGGAAGGGCAGCCAAAAAGGTTGAAGAGGAGGAATGGCAGAGACTCAATTGTCTCTGAGACCTCAGAGCTCAGCAGATGCCAGGGAGGGACCGAGACAAAGGCACGCACGCACGTGGCAGGGCCAGCTAACCTCCATTTCCGTGGGAAACCAGGTGGAAAATGGAGCCGAAGACTATTTTGGGACAGGAGCGATCTTTCTTTCTCCCTTGAGCTCGGCCCTCCTTTCAGAGGCGGCTCCTTGAGCGTGGCAGGGCCAGCAGGATTTGGGGCTGCAGCACCTGGTCCAGGGCTCAAGGCAGGAGATGCTGCGAGGGGACGGTCGTGGGAGGGGGTCCCTTCTCATCTCGGAAGAGGGGCTTTCTCCTCCGCAGCCCCTCGTCCCCTCCACGTGACGGTTACTCATCCCGGCTCCCAAGGTGCCCTGCCAGCCCGCAGCGAGCCGGAGGAGGGGGGAGCAGAGCGGTGGCTTTCCAGGGATGCTCAGCTGCAGAATGAGTCAGCAGCCGCCGGCACAGCCTGGCCCCGCTCCAGCCCCATCCCCACCAATGCAAAGGGCTCCGGACACCCCGCTGCCGCCCCGGCTGCCGGGCGGACCCGCAGCCACGGTTCGCTTGTGGCTGCGCCGTGTCCGTCCCCCCCCGCGGT